TTCGGACTATCAATCAAACTTATGAGAATATTGGTTTTAATGCAATTTGACGGGCCGCAAATGATCACGCGTATAATATTCGGCAGCATTTCGCCGTGCTTGCGATTCTCCGCGCTGCCTCCCATCATTTGCAATTTTGCGTCACAGTTTGTGACACGCATCATCAACGGTTGCCGCACAAGTTTCATGCTCACACTACAGGCTGTGCGCTTTCGAACGACAATATAAAGGTGCGCGAACCCGAATCGTGCAGTAGCAAAATGTATCTCAAGCTGTGTCATGCTTCCAATATTCAAGACTTGAGCCACGAGCAGTTGCAATATATACCGAAGGTCGTATTTTTACGCATGTGCGGCGACTACATCGAACACGTCTGGGACAAGTTTCCGGAACACGTGAAGGCAGATTCAGTGGTTCCAACCTATCGTCGCTGCGACGAGCAGTACAATCCGTGACAGTGGACGCACTTTGACGGTTCCGCAAATAAAGGATTGTAGATAAAGGACTGTAGCGAATGTCAGCGTCGCAGCGGTCTACTGAATCGATAAACACGCTTCCTTTCGAGTTACATATTCTGGATTATCAATTTTGCAGCCCAGGCACTCGGCTTACGAAACGATCAGTAAGAGGTGACGCGAGCATAAATCCTCTGGACGCGGCGTACCGGGAACACGACATTGCGTATTCCAGGAGCAATGATCTCACCGATAGATACGCGGCGGACAAGGTACTCGATAAAGCGCTAGGACGCGTCGTCGCAAAAGATTCGGCTCGAGGGAGGCGCCGCTCCGGCCAGAAAGCCAAGACCAAGATCGGTATGAAATCGAAGAAGAAGACGACGAGGAAAAACGTGATAAAAAAGCGGATACTTCCGATGGTGAAACGAGGCGGTGCGTTACCAATTCTGCCAATTTTTGGCACGCTCGGATCCTTGATTGGCGAAGCGGACAGCGTGGCGAAAGCGGTAAACGACAGCAAAGTCGCGCAACGTCAGCTCGTAAAGAACTGACGTCACAGGGAGAAGGATATGTGGATGACGTCGCAGGAGGTGATGTCGTTAGGCGAGGGGGTCACGTCACAATGGGTGACGTCGCGGGGATGGCGATAGGGGGGGACGAGGACGTCCCGGGTGCGGGAAATCACGTAGCCGGAAATTACATGCGTCCGCGTCGCGGTGAAGATGTAGCGCGGGTCAATGGCCTCCGGACGCAATCCGCCGCCACAGGGCGCGGTCCGCCGCTGGTCCGCGCCACCACCACCGAACGCGGTCCCCACCGCGCTTATATGTATACCATGTATGCTCACCATCTCTCAAGCGTCGTCATCTTCTTCTTACGTAACCTTCTCTTCAGCATTTATGCGATTATTCATGCAGAAATATTTTTTATTCTGCCGAATTATATTATTATTTTAGAGAGCGCGACGGTACAGTCGCGCGTGATGACACACGCGTAATACGATTCTGTGAAGAAGGAACGATTAATTGCAGACACAGATATTTTTAGACATTTATATTTCATGTGATGCATTATATTATAATATCTTCACAGCATATACGTAGGTTGCTGGAAAGTTTCTGCAATCTAATACTTTCAGTGGCGCCAACGTTCTGCTACTATCATATCCGTAAAATTAGACGTTTTTAACTTATAATTTAATTGATAGTTTGTACCCAAGCCAACTAGTTTTGTTTACATAGTATTTTAAAAGAAGTTATTTTGTGAGAAAATGGAAATTTCGCGTGAAAATCATTGCCCGAAAATTTTATCTAACTCCAAAATGCATCGACTTCATTTGGCTTTTGGGAATGAAGCACCATCCAATAGGACTTTTTATAATTGGTTTACCGAATTCCAGCGTGGACGTACCTTTCTTTGTGATGAATTCCGTGAAGGTTGTCTATCCGCATCTGTTGTTGCCACTAATGTTGATGCTGTGTGTGAAATGATTGAGCGAGACCGGCATATATGACATACCGCGAAATTCAGGCATCCTTAAGCATTGACATAAAAGCAATACATACGATTTTGCATCAATCACTTGAGCGTACGGAAACTTTGCAGTCCCACTTTGGATCCCACACAATTTGATCAAAGCTCAAAAAGAGGCTCAAGAAATTCAACCGAGGTCGGTCAAATTTGGTCTACAACATCGTTACTGGGGACGAAACATGGATCTATTTGTATGAGTCCGAAAGTAAACAAGAATCCGCTGTTTGAGTATTTCAAAATGAACCGAAACTAACAAAAGTTGTTCACGCAGTATTGCCAAGCAAATGATTGCTTGTTTCTTCAGTTATACTGGACATGTGGCAACCGTGACTTTAGAGGATCGAAGGAAGGAAATACTGAATGGTATATAACAATTTGTTTGCCAGAAGTCATAAATGAATTGCGTAGAACAAACCAAAATCGTCGCATTATCCTTCATCATGACAACGCCAGCTATCACACAACACGTCAAACCGTTGAGTTTTTATCCAGTAAAAATGTCGAATTGATGACTCATTGTCCGTATTCACCTGATTTATCACCTAACTGACTTCTTTTTGTTCCCAAACATTAAAAAGAAGATGTATGGTGAGCGATTTGAGTCGTCTGAAGCAGCTGTTGAAATATTTCGTACACTGATTTCTGAGGTTATAGCCGCAAAGTGGAAAAAATGCTTCGAAAATTGGTTCGAGCATATGCAAAAATGTATCGATCTTAAAGGCGAATACTTCGAAAAACAATAAAGCCATTTAGCAAATTTTACATATTTTTTTTCATATTGTTTGCAGAAACTTTTCTAGCAGCTTACGTACTATCAATTCGCATTCAATATATAAATTTTTATCGTAAATCCTAAGCAAAGTATCTGTAGTAGCGCTATTGTTATTTATACAGTTTTGACATAAATGAATCATAAAATATTAAAAATTATCGCTTATAATATTAGTATATTGACACAAATTGAAAAATATGTGCTCGATACATTGTTCGAGTTCAAGCATAAAAAGTATAGTTGACGTTTCATATATAAATACTTCTCACTTAAATATAATTTCACATTGTCGACATTACATATTTTAACAACTTCAATGACAAGGTCCTGTATCATTACTTTCGATGGTATAGATGACTGCACCAATCGTTGGATATCTAAACATTTTTCGATGAACGCTATCCACGTAGCATGCAACAGGATGATTACTTCGGTTATCGCCATTCCTATCGCAATTTCTATATGAGGAGTTGGTCTCATGACGATTCCAATCTTCAAAAATTTGTAAACTGTCAGTGTCAACGCTAATAGTCTTGTCAAAATGGTATAAGAAACACGCTATAATGGAGAAGAACAAAAAAATAAACAATATATAGAAAAAAAAAATCTTTATAAACAAGTATAATTGAAATATTTACTCGCTCGACTCATGTTGAACATATGAATCCATAGCGGAGAATCCATAGATGGAGATCACAAAACGAATTTGTCTGAGCGACTGATGCAGTATCAATGCTCCAATCTCTATTTAAATCTTACCCCCTGCAACAATTTTTTGTAACAAAATATATTTTAGACATCCAGATGACATTAATGTAATGTGATACCGCAAATTGCAATGTCAGCAAATTTGCAAGTTTCAATGTGACCTTGTCAGTAATACAAAAAATTTTTTTCAAGGACAATTAACATGTTTCGCAATGACAATGATTAATGTAAATAGTAAGAGTAGACCGATCTAACCCAGGTTCTCCGAGGAGTGATGAGGGGCCGGGGGAGAACCCGCGGCGCGGGGAGGAGAGCCACGGAGAGTGGAGGGAGTGACGTCACTAGGCGAGGGGGAGGAGGAAAATGACGTCACAGTGAATGACGTCGCGAGGATGGAGATGCGGAGGACGAAAATGTCCCGGGTGCGAGAAATTACGTAGCCGGAAATTATGTAGCGGAAACTTGCGTCCAGTGAAGACATGGCGCGGGATCAATGGCCTCCGGGCGCGGTCCGCCGCCGCAACTTTTTTTTTTTTTTTTGATAACGGAGGGGAAATGCCTAACGCATACTCCAGGCCTCGGGAGAGAGCCCGGGGTTATGTGGGGCTTGCACCCACTAAAACCCCTCCGGGTGTCCTTACCAGGCCATGGTTGAGGGACTCCCAGGAACGCGTGCAACATACTTCTGAGAGCCCCTCTGGCCAGTCTGGTGCCGACATCCTTTCCCGCCCGGGGATTTTATTGTCGAAACGACCCCGGGCAGTGCAGGGCACCGTCGACCCAATATTCGGGCGCTGGGGGGACATCACCCCCGCGCCCGCTCCCCGGTTGTTGTTGGGGGACGGGAGTTGGGGATCCCGGCCCCCGCAAGGACGCAGGTACTCCGAAACATCCGTGTCCGGTGAGCACCTGCGTCGCGTGGAACGATAGTCCGCCCTATCCCCTGCCTACCCATTCCTCGAAGCAGGGGAGGATGGCCTCAACGGTCCGTGCACCCGTTGTCGGCGAGTCGTTTTCGAGAGTGGCGCGCCACTCCTCGAAGACCCGCCGACGGGCGTTCCTCCTCAGTCGGTCAACGGTCCTCGGGGTTACGATCCCCCCCCGAAGCCAAATGGCCTTCACCCTGGCGTAAGTCTCCGCCAGGGCATCGGCTACATACTCGGCAGGGGGGATCCCCGCGAGGACCATGGCAGCCGCATACGACACCGTCCTGTAGGCCCTACAGATGAGAAGGGCTAGCCGCTGTTGCACGCTGTGCAACTTCTGTTGGATGCGGAGGCTGGCCAGGGCCTTCCCACTTCAAACCGGGGGGGCGTAAAGGGCCCCAGACAGGACAGCGTGCATATATGCCCGCCTGACCGACTCGTTCGGACCGTGGAGGTTGGGCATTAGGCCGAGCAGAGCGTCTGCTCGGCGGCCCAACCGCGGGGCTAGCTCGTCGAAATGTTCGACGAAGCCCCAGCAACCATCCACGGTGAGGCTCAAATATTTGATCGTGGGCCCAACCGGGACGCGGACATCGTCCACCACTATGTGTGCCTGAGGGGGCACCCCGCCCTTCCCGTCGTGGAAGAACAGGGCTTCCGACTTAGCGGGGGCCACCGGGCCATCCTCAGGCCCAACTCCTTTATGAAGCCGACCACACACGCCGCGACATTCGCCGTTCTCACGGCTCTCTTCCAGGTCGTGCCTCCGGCCACCACCAACGTGTCGTCCGCGTAGCAGACGACGTGGCAGCCAGGGGATAGGGCCGCGCGGAGAACATGGTCGTATGCGACATTCCAACGTAGGGGTCCCAACACGGACCCCTGTGGAACGCCGCACGACACGTCCCTCCGCTGCTGGAGTCCCATTTTATCATGGAACTACAGCTTCCTGTCCCGGAAATAGTCCTCAACAGTGACGACCAAGTAGAGGGGCAAGAGATAGTGTCCTTTCAACGCCCCCACTACCTGGCCCCACGGGACGCTGTTGAAGGCGTTGGCGATGTCCAGGGACACCGCCAACGCCACTTTCCCTCCCGCGGTCATTTGCTCCGAAAGGGCTCTGACCTGCCTAATGGCATCGATGGTCGATAGGCCCTCCCGGAAGCCGTACTGACCGCGGGATAGATTGGGACCATCCCGGGACAGGTGCCGGACGATGCGGGCAGCGATGACTCGCTCCAGCAATTTCCCCGCTTCGTCCAGCAGGCATATCGGCCTATAAGCGGAGGGACTCTCCGCCGGCTTGCCCTCCTTGCGTAGGAGGACAAGCTTGGCTCTCTTCCACGACTTGGGAAAGACGCCTACTCTGAGGCAGCTCGTGAAGAGCTGCCTCAGATGATCTCCCACAATAGGGGCCGCGGCGAGCCAGACCCTGCCGTGAATGCCGGAGGGTCCGGGCGCCCGCGGCCTCCCCTTAAGGCGGGCGAAGGCCCTCGTCATCTCCTCCCCGGTGACGCTCAGCTCCTCCGTCCATCCGGACGGGAGGCCGACCCTCTCTTGAATATCCCTCTCCTTATTGAGAAAGAGGGCGGCCACCACGTCCTCTAGGAATTGAGCGTCCAAGGTTTCCGTTATCGGGGGAGCCTACGGACGAAGTTGCTTCGTCACAATTTTGTAGGGCCTCCCCCACGGATCCCTGTCCAGGGAAGAGACGAATTCGCGCCAGGTGTCGGCCTTCGCCCTCCTAATGATCGCCCTAAGGGCGCTCCTTGCATCACGGAGCGCCCCGGCGGCCACTTCCATCTCTGCGTCAGTGCCCCGCCTGCTGTGGCGAGTGTACGGTCCTCGGGGCGCTCAGCTCTTCGGACCACCAGAGGTGGTGGTAGACTGCCCTTCTCGCCACAGGACGACAGCGGGGCATCGACGCGTCGCACGCGCGCGACATGGCGTCCCCGAGCAATTCGGCCTCCTCCTCCGAGCGGGCCGGGTTACGTTCCGGCCAGGTGGAGGAGAGGAGACTCACCTCGAGAGCGCTGGGGTCCAACTTGCGCAGGGCACATCGACATTCCATCTCGTGTCGGCGGCGACTTCGTGACACCTCTGCGGGGGTGGACACCAACTCCATACGGACCAGGCGATGGTCCGTCCGTAAGCTCTCCCAGGGAGCTGACGTCCACATGCCATCCTCGTATCTTGATGGCAGCCGCGGGGGTCGCCCATGTCAGATCGACGATGGACTCCCCCCGGGCCCCCACGAAGGTGCTGGCACGGCACCTATTCAGAAGGACTAGGCCGTGCCTCGCCGCCCACAGCAGGGTGCTGTCGCCCCTGGAGTCGGTAGATGGGGAATCCCACTCCAACGCGTGGGCGTTGAAATCCCCACCCACCAGTACAGGCCTGGGGAAGCGTCGTCGGATGTGCTCCCCCAGAGACTCCAGGGCGTCCTCATATTCCCTCCTCATTAGGCGAGGAGGGAAGTAGCACCCTGCCACATGGGCCCCCACTCTACTAGAGTGAACCCCTCCTTCGCCGATATAGGAATCATCGGCGGGATGTCGCGCGCGTGCCGGCTGACCACCGCCACCCGTCCCAGTGAGTCCCCCGCCCAGTTGGGGTGACTCTCCGGGATTCGGTATGGGTCTGCGGTGATGGCCAAGCCCCCCCCCCACTCGGTGAGGCACTGCATAAGCATGCTTTGTGCCCCGGCCGAGTGGTTGAGGTTCGTCTCGGCGAGGGCGAAGGACATTAACTGGTCCCTCGCCCCCTCCGACGTTAGCGCCGTCGACCACCTCTTTGACCGCCGCGGAGGGTGTCATTTCTACGTCGACCACGGCCGATGGCGCTTCCGTTGTTGTCGCCGCCGCGGGGGTCTGCCCCGTGACGGCGGTATTGGGGGGGCTACTGGGCTTCTGCCCCCTCCCCCTTTTGTTCTTCACTTTAGCGGCGGCGCATCCGGTGCCCCGAGGGGCGGCCGAGCCCACGGCACGCGGGGCAATCGACTTTACCGCGGCACTCACGCGCCGCGTGGCCGATGCCCCCGCACCGGTAGTACGACCCGGATCGATCAATCGTGCTCGTGTACTTTTGCTGCACGTGACCGGCCTCCAGGCATTGATAGCACTGGAGGCTCCGGGCCGGCAATAGAGCCACTCTGCAGCTCGACCACCCCACCTTGACTCGTGAGGCGGCCACTAATTGTTTGGCCGCCTCTACGGGGCACCACACCCAGCATGTGCCCAGCCCGTTGGGAGCCCTGCTGACTCCTCCCACCTTAAACTCCGGTTGGAGTCGCCCGCAGGCCCCTGTCAGCTCCTCGGCAACCTCTGTTGGGTTGCCGAGTTGTCCAACCCGGAGACCCGCACCTCGGCCGTCTTTGACGGACGGGACACCTTTACGATAGCTTCTCCGCCAGCTTGTTGGCTTTGGCGCGGCTCTCCGGGCCCCGGATCTCCCAAATGAGGGCCCCTGTAATGGCCCTCCTGAGTCGGAGATCCTCGATCCCCGCATCCTTGAGGGAGATCGAAGATCTCGCCTTCCCCACCACCTCTTGATAGCTGGTCGGCACAGATCACGGTAATGGCCGCCGAGCTGGGCGACCTCAGCTTAGGAAGGGGAGCCTTCTTATCGGAGGCTTGAGGCCTCGCGGCAGTGCTCTCCTTCCTCGCCGTCCCGCCCGCTTTCCCACCGTTCCCCTTTTTGGTGGGAGCGGGGGCCGCGGGGGCTTTGGCGCTCTTGGGCGTCGGTCGGGGCGGAGCCGCCGCGGCCTTCGCCGCCTTGGCGGCCGCCTTCTTCGCCGCCCTCGAAACGACCCGTGCCCAGGTCGCCTCGTTGGCATCCGCCACGCGCCCTCCGTCCCCAGCTGATGGGGAGATCGCGAGGGGCGGCGAGTTCCTCCTCGTGGCGGAGGTGGGCACGCCAGGCGCGTTGCCACCGGACTTAGGAGTGATCTTCGCCCCCTTCTTGGCGGGGGGCTGGTCGCCCTGCTTAGCTGGGGGCTGGCCGCCCCGCTTGGCGGGTGATGCCTTTGCCGTCATCGGGACCACCCCCATCCCTCTCAGGAGGCGGGGGAGGAGCCTCTCGAGGACCCTTTCTATACGGACGTCCCCGTCGTCCCGTCCGTCGGTCTTCCCCTTCCTTTTCGCAGGGGACTTCTTACCGGCAGACGCGACCTTGTCCGCGACGGTCGCCGGGGGATTCAACTGCTTTGAAATCCCCTGCAGTGGAGGCCTGAAGTATGGGGACTTCAGGTCCTCCTCCGTGACCGTCACGCGCGGCCGCGGCTCCTCCCCCTCCGCGGTTCTTCCTCTCCGCGTTCTGACCGGGCTGCGGGCGCCGGTCAGGCTATCGGGACCCGACCACTCCATGGTCGAGTCCCATTCCATCCCCGGCGCCCTGTCCCTGCCGGACGTGCAGCGGGAGGTAGACCTCCCCCTGTCGTGCTCCAGGACCGCAACTCTAGAGCGGAGGAGCACCAACTCTTGGTTGAGCTGCCGTTTCTCTTCCACCCAGGCCCTGGAGCTTTCATGAAGCTGGTCATCTTCGGCCGGCATGTCGCCATTGCCCGACCTCGCCATCACGGAGCTCAGGGCTGTGGACAGCTTTGAAAAAGCTGCCCACAGGTTCCTGATGACGTCTCCTTTTATATTACGGCTCTTCTCGACAGCCTTCGCGATGGTTGCCAATTCGCGGGTTACTACCGCGGCAACCGATCGCAAAGGCTGCTGATCGGACTCGATGGCGAGGTCGATAGCTCTGTCCCTTGCTCTTTTAGCGGACGCGGAAGAGGGCTCCACATCCGGGTCTATTATGGCTCGGTGGTCCCTCCTCAGCTGCCGGGCCTTTGCCTTGTCGGCCTTCTTCGCCCTAGCCTCCGCCGTATATTTGCCGGCGTGTTCAGGATTCAAGGCCTACCCCTTGACCGTTTCGTGGACTCTGCTTCGGATTCAGGTGGAGACCACAAATTCGGCCTCTTCCGGCTTTCTCCTCTAAGGGACTCTAGCGAGGCCATGGATTCGGCCCTCGACAGAGTACTCTCAGAGGCGGCAGCCTCGGCGCGCGACCCGACCTTGCTGCAGGCAGGGCCGGGACGCGATTTTCGAGAGTTGCTTCCCTCCGTTTCGCCCTTAGTTGGGCGAGCCTCCTGCTCTACGCTCTTTGCAGAGCGTATTTCGTCCGCGTTATTGATTGTTGAGCTATTCATTTCTGGTTATGCCCACGGCCCGCAGCGGCTCCGCCAGCCAGGGTGTACCGTCACCCCTCCCCCGGAACACCAGGAAAAGGGGCCCCGACTTCTCCCGGGGAGCTGGCATATGGCACGGATCCCCGGAATGTATCAGCGGGGACACTGGCCTCCAGCCCCTTACTCCCCGTGAGTGGATGTGGTGCAAGTCCACTCACGAGTTTCGGGGGTCCCTCGCCTCGAGAGCACCGCTGCGGGCGGCCCCACGGACGGTTCGGGTCAGGGAAGCGGCGCCCCTTCCGGACCCTAGCCGCCGTGGCGACCAGCGTAATGTGCGCTGCCCAGTGTCCCGCTTCGGAAGGGATGCCGTCGGAGACACTGTGCACTACTACTCGACGCTCCCCCGGCCCCGACCACGGAATACGTCCGAGCGGTCCGGAGGGGGTGGGGATCGCGCGCTCTGCCTCGGAATACGTCCGAGCAGCTTCGCGACCCCCTCCGCCGAGAGGGACGGGTGGTTCCGCGACGGACCGAAGTCCGCGCGGCCCCGTCCTTCCCTACGAACAGAGTCCGCACCTCTCGAGGCGGGAGAGAGGGACCCCTGGTGCAATGAGCCGAAGCTTTCAGGGACCCCCTCCCTCGCTCAGTGGCATGAGCCAGCCCGCAGCCAGGAGCACCCAGCATATGGGCCGATCCGCCTTGCGGGAGCACCCGCTCGATACAACCCACACCCGGGACCCGAGGGAACCAACCCAAAGGGGGGAGGGGAGGGCCCCACGGGACCCCGGGTGCGGTGGGGGGTCGAAGCCCACATCCGCACGGGCAGGGAATAGAAATTCCCCCTAACGGTGCCGTGCCACCGGGCGATTGAAGTCAGGGCCGCCAACCTCTACCGGCACATTGGGGACCCGTTCCGAAAGGACGAGACCCTCAGGAGTCCCTCCCACGAGGAGAGGAGACTCCCTTAGGGTGCCGGACCCGGTGTACAGACTCCCCCCGTGAGGAAGGAGTCCGTACAGGCTGCTCTTAGACTCCCACGTGCCGCAAGCTCCCCGTGGGGGAGCCCCCTCACCATGACAAGGTAGCAGCCCGCGAGGGGGCCACTGCCGCGACTGACCTTCACCGCCGCCTCCGGACGCGGTCCCCACCGCGCGCTATACTTACGATGTATACTTACCATTAATACTTAACATTTTTCCTCTTATGTGTCATCATCTTCTTCTCGCACGCAAAATATTTTATTTATTTATGTATTTTATTTTATCTTATTTTATTTTTATTTTTATTAACTTCCTTTAATAATTATTTGCACTGCACAATAATAAGAGTGCGATTTATCGAGAGCTTCGGTACAATCGAACGTAACGCGACACGGCAAAGATAGGAAAGAAGAAAGGAATGAAAGAAAAAAGCAAAAATGTCAACAATGAGTTAATCTGTATATGTATATTTCATTTTACTTTATATATATATAAAATAAAATATGCAATATAATATAAATATATATATATATATATTAGGGGTACAAATAAGTTCGTGCGGTTTTGAAAGAGATGGCGTAACTACTGTTTCATTCCACCGTTCCGTATTTCTAAGTATGCGTTGGATAGCTGTCATTAGTAGGTATTAAGTTCAGTATGTGTCATTTGTTCGAATTGTAAACAACAATATTTTTACTTCATCAAATATGTCGAACTTTGTTACCAAATAAAGTGTTTTTGCGGGGAGTTTTACTGCATTACTTCAATATGAAGAAAAGCGCTGCCGAAAGTCATCGTATTTTAGTGGAAGTTTATGGTGACCATGCTCTATCTGAGCTAACGTGTCAGAAGTGGTTTGCACGGTTTAAGAGTGGTGACTTTGACTTGGAAGACCAAGAGCGTGCCGGATGTCCAAGAAAGTTTGAAGACGCAGAATTAGAGGCATTACTCGATGAATATCCATGTCAAACGCAAGAAAAGCTTGCATTATCATTGGAAGTGACTCTGATTACATTGTAACCGGTTTTTCACAATAAAGCCCCAAATTTCGAGAAAAAACCGCACGAATTTATTTGTATCCCTAATATATATATATATATATTTATATAATATTGCATATTTTTAATCTCTTCGCTCCAATATAAACGCAACTTTGTCATCTTCTGAATCCAATTGTCTTTCTCCTCCACTCCAATATAATTGCAATGTTGTCATCATCGCGGTCTGGCCTCCTTTTTCGCACCAACCGTCGGTGAATGCGGCTTGCTTCCTCTTCCTCCTACTCCTTCATTTGTCAGATATTCTCTATTAATTCATCAAATACTTCATTCAACTGCGCGATGATGTCCGCAGTACTATGTCTGGAACAGAAAAATAAAAATATAAAATGATAATTTAAATTAATAGAACACAATATCACATGAAACATGGATATCATGAGAACCGTGGTACGTCGTTCAAGCCAAACGCAAACATTGATCATGACACGCACCATCAGAACGTAAATCATAGGGCAAGGGATTAATTAATTAATTTATTAAGAATAAAATACTTACATTTGCCTCAACGGATTGCCAGCGCTGTCCATATCCAAATTTACAGTAAAGCCGCCGGGTATCTCGATTGTAGAAGTCCTTCATAAGATCATCAGCCGCTCGAGTAAGGCCTCGGTCTTTTGCGCTAATAAGCGCATCCGGGCATCCATCACATTTGCACACTGAATCATGTTATTAATATTTGCCATTATAAAAATCTCGCACAGATTGACTGACAGACTAACAGACTGACAGACTGATTGTCCGCGGGGCTGTGTGAGATGTTATACAGTAAAGATGTTCGTGGAATACGATACCATTCCAAGAAAAGAACAATTGATCAAAATTTACACTGAAAAGTATATCACGCGATCGAACGATGAATAAAGCATTTTTATCAGTTATAATTAGATCAATGCATTATATTAGCAGCAAAAGTACAATGCTCCGGTCAAAAATTTATACCTCAACTGAAAAAAATATATGAAAAGGAGAGCATAAAAAACCACCGCACAAGTTATAGTTTGTAATATTGAATTATCATTACATTAATAAAAACATTAGACGTTTCGGCCACAATCTGGCCATCCTGGCCAGTAAATTCACAATATTCTTAAAACGCAGAGTTACATATAGCTGACATTAAATACCGTCGTATGATATAATTATTATATATATAAACGTGTTCTTTCATATGTGAAGATGCCTCGTACAATAATACACCGCCAATAGTCATATCACGAAAAGTGTAGAACGAGAATTTCCAGATTCTAATTTAACAAATTTATGTATCATTAATATCTTCTAATCGAAATGTGTGAGAATAGAATCGTTACCTGTTTTACAGCAAAAAAATAATGAATCTCAAGCATCCTTTGCATAGATGGAAATTTGTCGTGACATTGTGTGTTGTTATTTGTCATATTATATATGTTACTATTTATTTATATGTATAAGTCAAAAGTTTAGAAAGTTCTAGAATTATTTATTACATGTGAGAGAGATTTTTCTTAAGAAGAAGCAGATAAACATCAGGCGAACCTTCAGTGTCACTTTGCTTATTGATACCACTTATTTGGCCTTTAATATATATCATTTCAGAAATTCTTCTTTTCATTAATGATTGTTTTGTGTCTAAAATTATTATCCCAATCCAATTCATCTCATTCAATTGGTGACGTGATATCACGCGTTTGAACGATTCCACGAATAAACTTCAGTATTTATCAGTTATAATTAGATCATCAGTTATTAGATTGTCATATCATCAATATAGTGGTAAAAGTATAATGCCTCGAACAAAAGCGTATGCCTCAGCCAAAAATATACGAAAAGACGGCGCGCTCGAAAGATTTCTCAACATTTTTGTCACTTGCAGCACTTCGTATTGAAGCACAATAACGTATATCTATTAAACGTATATCTATTAAATAGAACTAAAATTTGACAGCTATCAGACTGATATTTAACAACTATCAGACTGATACTTAACAGCTACCGGACTGATATTTAACAGCTATAAACAGCTAACAGACCGATATTTAACAGCTATAAATAGCTATCTGATTTATATTTAACAGCTATAAACAGCTATCAGACTTATATTTAACAACTATAAACAGCTACCAGACTGATATCAGTTCCTTTCCAACTTCATGTGCTGTATATATATATATAT